GATGATTTTTCCGCGGGCCCGAGGCATATGCCTTCCCCCCGTGGGAACTCGGGGCCCTGTCAAGAAATTGGCAGGGAGGGTATACCCTGGAAGGCGCAGCCGACACGGGGAGTGGGACAATTAAAAATGGATCCAGCTCAAAAACAAACAACTACTGACAAGAATACTCGAAGGAGTAAAGGGAAAGGAAAGGAGAACATCGGCGATACCGAGGAAGTAACCATGGAGGTGGAACAACCTTCCACGGACCAACTCCGTACAACAAGGCACATCGAGGATGTAATGCAGGGTACTAAACCAGAGGGACTGAAGGAGGTTAAGGAACCCCAACCTTCTACATCTTTCTTCAGGAAACCTGGTCCGAAGTCATATAAAGAAAGAATAGCAGACTTAGGGGAAACTTCAGCTATGGATACTGACACGCAAGAGGTCAGTTCAGATAGCGAGGTCTCAGATTACAGGAGAACAAAAGGCAAAGGAAAAATAATCATTGACGATTCGGACACTTCACCCCCCGAGAAGGTGAATAGAGGAAGTAAGGGACCTCAATCCAGAGGTAACAGAAAAAGGGAAAGATTAACATCCGAGACAGAGTCAGGATATAGGAGAAGTAAGACGACTGGCGAATATGTAGGTCGTCGAGATGCAATCCTCAAGTTCAATGAGGCCAAAGAAGAGGCTCTTCAACTGGATAGGGAGAAGATCATTAGGGAGTATGACAATTGTCAATTATTTAAAAAGTCTAGAATCGATCTAGAGAAAATCAAGGATAAGGTGGAGGGCGAGTCTACGGAAGATTTGGTAAATAGAGTCACAGAAAATATGACCGAGGTCATACGAATTGCTAAGTCTTCAAGTAATCTTAAAGGAACCTTCCAAAAGAGTCTTAGGCTGGCTGCGGCGTCCTCTATGGGCATTATGGAAGTGTTAACGGAAAGGGCAGCCTTACCTAAGGAAGTAGCTAAATCGGAGGAGGTTAAGCTGCTAAAGCGAGAAATTGCCAGATTAAAAGGCAAACTAGATACGGAAGTGGAAAGCGAAAAGAGAAAGGCTATGCAAGCAGCTGGCGAGGCCGCCGCATATAAGTCGGAACTGCTTGCGTTGAAAAGGGAAAGATCGGAGAGAAAGAGTGATAAGACTCCTAGCCCAAAGGGAAAAGAAAAGGCAAGAGAAGGTAACAGTAAGGAAAGATCGAATGCGGATGAAGGGAAATCCTTAATGGGTACTCCAAGGAGGAGCTCCAGGAGGATCCCTTCTGCTAGTATAAGGGCTCGAGATAGACTCATTACCTCTGAGTCGGAATTCATGGATGTGGATAAGGAAAAATCCCCAACTACTGCTAGGGTGATCCTGGACAAGCCAGAGGATTGGCCTGAGGTCATCCGGCCCACATTGTGTGGCAAAAGGAAGGTTATGAAGGAGGAGCCAGAGGTACGAAATGCGATCTACATGGCTCATAAGAAATACATTTCTGAAGGACATAAGGATAAAGAAAAGGAAGAGAGTGAAAGAGAAAAGAGAAGTGAGATAAGCTATGATCCAATAGACTTGGCCAGTACGATTAGGAGGATTGTCGCGGAAGAACTAGAGAAGTATTATAAAAAGCCGCGTATTACAGAAATTGAAACGGTGAAGACCCCGATTACTATAGTTAGAGGAGGGGTCATAGATAAGAATAGGAAAGTAGTGAAGGAAGCTAAACAATCCAGCAAATCTAGGAGCATCGAGACTCCTAGAAAAGAAACAACTGGGAAAGAAAAGGAGAAGGAAAATAAATCTGCGAACGAGTGTTTCACGGATATAGAGGGGAAAACTCATGATTTACCCTGGTCCAAGGTGGTGGGCAGGAAGAGCAGGAAGTCAGTCAACTTGGAGAAGACGATGGACTCAAGGAGTAAACCTACGACAAGTACACCGGCGAGATTATCAAAAAATAAGGAAGAGACAACTAAGATCAACAGGAGAGTGCCTAGAACGGCAGCTGTACAAATAAGCTGTCGCGGTGAGACAACCTATGCGGAGGTAATGCGTATCGCTAAGGCCAAGGTGGATATCGATAAACTTGAAATACCGGAGATAAGACCTAGGAAGGCCAGAACTGGGGCACTCCTACTAGAGATCCCGGGAAAAGAAGGGGCTGTCAAAGCTGATGCGTTAGTCGGTAAATTGAAGGAGGTTCTTGGTAACGAGAAGGATGTTTTAGTCACACGTCCCGAGAAGATGGCTGACATCAGGATTAGGGATATCGAGGAATCGACTGGAAGAGAGGAAATTTTGGAAGCGTTAGCAAAAAAGGGAGAGTGCTCTAAAGACAGTATCAAGTTAGGTGATATTGTAATAGCCAATAACGGGCTGGGCATGATCTGGATTAAATGTCCGGTAGCTGCTGCGAAGAAGCTCGCAAATAGTAAGAGGATACGTATCGGATGGACGATGACTAGAGTGGAGTTGCTCCCTGAGAGGGCACTCCAATGTCACCGATGCTTAGAAATTGGTCATGTGAGAAATCAGTGCCGGAGTGACATTGACAGGTCTACGGCATGTTACAGATGTGGGAAGAATGGTCATTCTGCTAAAGGGTGCACGGATCCAGTACACTGCATCATATGCGCTGAAAAGGGCCAAAAAGCTAACCACAGAATGGGGGGTATGGCATGCAAACCGAATGTGGCAGGACGAAAAGGCAGAAGTGTACCAACTCCACTAAAAATAGGACAAGTATCTACGAGGAAGGACAACGAGATGATAATCGACGTGGAAACGGGTATAAATAACCCCCCTGTGGAGGCAATAAATATAACAGGTGAGGTTGAAACCAACGTAACAAAGTCCATGGCCGCATGCAGTGTCAATGAACCAAAATCTGCAGAGATGACACAGGACACAACGGTGGAGAACATGGAGGTAGACAACCCACAGGATTGGAAGACTCCGGAGGCGAATCTTATTCAAGAAATGAATTGGCCTGAGCAAGGACAAAAATGGACTACGGAAGATCAAGTGACGATACCAGGAAGGGAAGGAGAAGGAGGAATCTCCATGCCGGAAAATAATGGTTAATTACGTAATTCAAGCTAATATTAACCATGCAAGAGATGCACACGATGTACTCCTGCAAACGATGGCGGAAGGTGATTTCGCCTTGGCGATTGTGTCAGAACCTTACACAGTCCCGGTGGATCATCCCCATTGGTATGCCAACGAGATGGAAACAATCGCGATAACATGGAGACAGGCCCAGGAAGCGATTCCCTGTACCCCGTACGATAGGGGAGAATACTTTGTGGCTATCAGATGGGGAGATGTGGTGGTTGTGGGGGTTTATCTTCCTCCAAGCCTCGACATCCCCCAGTGTGAGGATGCTCTGATAGAGCTAGAGAGATGGGCCATGCGTAACATGGATAAATCCTTGATTATTGGGGGCGATATGAATGCCAAGTCATGGTTATGGAATTCCAGGATTACGGATTCGCGAGGTAGGTTGGTCGCGGATTGGGCTAGCGCTTTAGGCATGTGTTGTCTTAATACAGGACGGGAGAACACATGTATTAGGATAAATGGAGAGTCCATAGTAGATGTTACGTTTGCCAATCCGGTTGCTGCTAGAAGAATCGTCAAATGGACAGTCTCTAGGAGGGAATCTAAATCTGATCACCGGTATATCGAGATCACAGTAGGTCTCACGGATGCACAAAAACGAAGGAGGAAACTGCCGAAAGCCCAGAGATGGGTCATGAGAAAGTTAAACGAGGATATGTTTACCGCTGCTATTATGGCAAGTACATGGCCTAATAGGGACCAGGAGGTGAAAGACACCGAAGTATTAGTTAAGTCTCTCCAGAAGGCTATGGTGAATGCGTGCGACGCTTCTATGCCTAGGTCTACACCGAGACCACGTAGGGCTATGCCCTGGTGGTCAGAGGAGCTGGCATCACTACGTCGAGAACTATCGAGTGCGAGGAGACGATTACGGAGAAGTAGGAGGACGGCACATATAAATGAGGTGGAAAATCAATTAAGCCTCCTCAATTTTAGATTGGCCAGGGATAGTTTTAGTAAGGCTATTAGGAAGGCTAAGGCTGTTGCTTGGGAGGAATTTATCCAGTCTCTGAACGAGGATCCATGGGGGCGTCCATATAGGTTGGTCCTTGGGAAGCTGAGGAGGTGGTCACCTCCATATACGGAATCGTTGGAAGGCGAGATCTTGGAACGGGTTCTGACTGGGCTTTTCCCGCTATCTCCTGTGAGAGCGGGAACCGAATGGCGGGAACCAGAGATGCCATTGGAGGGGCCTGCAGCATGGAACGCGAATTTGGAGGTCTCTCATGAGGAACTGCTCTTGGCAGTTAATAGGATGAAGAGCAAAAACGCAGCACCGGGTCCCAGTGGGATATCCTCAAAAGTGTGGGCGCTGGCTACAAATGTCATTGCGGGTGATCTGATTAGGCTCTTCACGCACTGTTTAAAGAAAGGTTACTTTCCAGGCGTATGGAAGAACGCCAAATTGGTTCTTTTGAGAAAAGTAGGCAAACCTGACGATCAACCGTCAGGATATAGACCCATTTGCCTATTAGACGATGAAGCTAAGCTCTTGGAGCGAATTATCGCCGAAAGGATCGTTAAACATCTCGATGGAGGGGGACCTAACTTGAGCGCAATGCAGTTTGGTTTTAGAAAAGGGAGGTCGACCATTGATGCTATCAATGCCGCTAGAGATTTTATGGAGAACGCCTTTGACGGCGATAACAAAGTCGTCGGGGTCTCCCTTGATATTAAGAATGCGTTCAATTCCACTTCCGTGGAACGTTATTGGTAGAGCCCTGTGGAAACTCAAGATTCCCCTATATCTTAGGAGAATTATCAGAAGTTACCTAGAAAATAGGAAACTTTCATTCGGTAAGAACGATGGTACAGAAGGATACAAGTCTGTGGAGAGAGGGGTGCCTCAGGGGTCCATCCTCGGGCCACTCCTCTGGAACATCGGATTCAATACTGTGATGATGAAGAAGGAACTCCCATCTGGGAGTCTGGTCATTTGCTATGCAGACGACACTCTGGTCCTGACGGCTGGGGAGGATTGGGAAGAGGCTACTATTCTCTCCAATATCACTACGGATATTATTATTCGGAGGATCCAGGATTTAGGTCTGGATGTAGCTCCTGAGAAGACAGAGGCAGTGGGCTTCCACGATAGAGGCAGACCGGCCCATACAAATATAAGGATATTAGGGACAAGTGTGAAAGTCGGTACAACTATGAAGTACTTGGGTCTAACATTAGACAGTAAATGGAAGTTTGAGGCTCATTTTTCCAATCTCGCTCCAAGACTGGAGAAGGCTGCACTCAGCCTTAGTGGACTCCTCCCGAATTTGGGTGGACCCAATGACAAAGTGAGGAGATTTTACGCTCAGGTGGTGGCTTCAATGGCCCTATATGGCGCCCCTGTGTGGGCGTATGAAATAGTTAAGAACAGGAAGTGTCTACAAGTTATTAGACAAACGCAAAGGAGAATGGCCGGCAGGCTTATTAGGGCATACAGGACGACCTCTTGGATTAGTAATACGGTCCTGGCAGGGATGCCTCCTTTTGAACTGGAGGCTAGGAGACAGGAAGAGGCTTATGCCAGAATTACCGAGATAAGGAGAAATACTCCGAGGCATATCCCGGTACCCAGGGCTACCATAGAAGGCATAAAGGTGGAGACCAAGCGTAACCTGATTAGGAAATGGAAGGTATGGCTGAATGACCGGATTCCTCAGGAAGATGTGGTTATCAGAGCCATTCGAAATCAATTGGAGGATTGGTTGGATGCAAAAGTGGGGCTCTCCTTCCGGGCGACGCAGGTCCTGACGGGACACGGTTGTTTCGGACGGTACCTGTGTCGCATCGGGAGGGAGCCTCTTCCAGAATGCTGGAGCTGTGGAGCAGAGATGGACTCTGTGAAACACACGCTCAGATACTGCCCGGCTTGGACAATTGAGAGGAACGCGCTACAAGATGTATTGGGTTTAAACCCCGACTGGAGGACTATCATCTCTGCTCTAAGAAGAGAAGACGGAAGAAAAGCCTTCATGGAATTCTGTGAAGGAGTTATGCGCAAGAAGGAGGATATGGATAGAGACAGAGAAAGGGCGGTGGTTGTTAGTTGACTCTAGGGATAGGCGGGGACTTCGCATTGTATAGGTGCGACGAGTGGCTCAATAGCAGCTAATGTTGTGCACGAGTCACGACACTACGGGGAGGGGTGTCTTCTCCATCTTTAACTTAGACACCCCTCCCTGTAGCCTGACGTTTTTACAAAGAAGGAACATCGTGCGTTCATGTATTGTGCGTGATAGTAGGTGGGGTCGCCGCACCGACTAGCGGGGCGGCGAGAGGTTCTCTGATCGTAGGGAACCTCGAAACCACGGGGAGGGGCGCTTTCTCCATCTTTAACTTAGGTGTCCCCTCCCCGTGGCCCTAACCCAGAATGCTGGGGTGATAGGAGGAGACGGACAACCGAACCGAATAGCGGGTCGGTTGGTCTCAGATAAACGGAAATCCTGTAGGGCTGTGAGGCTAGTCAGACGAAAGTCTGACTCTCGCGGGATAGACCCATGGAGCCAAGGGCGGGGGCTCGAGGCTCCCTCGAGATGGGTAAAAGGATAGGAGGGTGTGTTGCCGGCGTCCTCACACCCTCATGTATATATATATATAGGGTTAGGCCACAAACGTGGATAAGCGGGGCTCACCCGGATGTACTACTGTTGCGAAACTCCCGGGTGGGTCCCATTTGCTTCGGGTTAGGTACGCCCGCAGGGGTTTTAGTGGGTAGGCTCCTCGAGGGTTATTACTTCGAGGAGAGAGTCCCACATACCCCGTCTCCCTCCCCCGGGGGAGTCGGGGATGCGTAAAGCATTTCCCCTGCGTCACAAAAAAAAAAAAAAAAATGCGATGCGAACATAAACTCCCGGATGGGTCCCATTCGCTTCGGGTTAGGCATGTCCGCAGGGGTTTTAGTGGGTAGGCTCCTCGAGGGTTTAACCTTGAGGAGAGAGTTCCACATACCCCGCCTCCCTCCCCCGAGGGATTTCCCCTGCGTCACAAAAAAAAAATGCGATGCGAACAAGTAAAAACGATGGCACGAAGGGCCAAAAAGAAGTGGAGAGAGGAGTACCACAGGGCTCCATACTTGGACCCCTCTTGATGAACCTGAGGTTCGACGGGATCATGAGTAAAAAGGGACTACCAAATGACAGTACAATCATCTGCTATGCAGTTGACACATTGATATTAATAGCGGGAGAGGACTGGGAAGAGGCCACAACCCTTGCGAACATAGCCACTGATATAGTGGTACAGAGGATCTCCGACCTAGGAGATTGTCCCGGCCAAGACGAAAGCAGTTGGCTTCTTCAACAAGGGAAGACAAGCTAACACAGATCTTAGAGTCGCAGGTTCAGTAATACAGGTGGGAATGAGTATGAGATATCTCAGACTCATACTCGATAGTAAATGGACGTTCGAAGCCCACTTCACTGATATGGCACCCAGGCTGGAGAGGATGGCATTAAACCTCAGCAGAATACTCCCAAACTTGGGAGGGCCCAACAACAAAGTCAGGAGACTGTATGTACAAGTCGTGGCATCAACTGCCCTATATGAGGCCCCAGTTTGGGGCTACGAAATTAGTAAGAGCAGGAAAACACTGCGGACATTGAGGCAAGCACAAAGGAGAATTACCGGAAGGCTCATAAGAGCGTACAGGACCACTTCGTGGATAACTAACTTGACATTGGCAGGGATGCCACCTTTCGAGCTAGAAGCTAAAAGATTAGAGGAAGCATATGAAAGGATAACGGAGATAAGGAGAATCACCCCTGCAAATACTCCGATTTCGAAACCGACAATAGACGGAATCAAGGATGATTCAAAAAGGAAATTAATCAGAAACTGGAAGCAGTGGCTACATGACCACGAACAAGGAGAAGACGAGGTCATTGGAGCGATCAACGAACAGCTGGATGGCTGGCTGGAGGCCAGGGTGGGGCTCTCCTTCCGGGCGACGCAGGTATTGACGGGACACGGATGTTTCGGAAGATACCTGTGTCGCATCGGGAGGGAATCCACAACAGAATGCTGATCATGCGAGGCGGGTAACGACTCCTCAATTCATACCCTTAGATACTGCCCAGCATGGACAGAAGAGAGAAGAACCTTAACGGAGGAAATAGGATTGGACCTAACTTGGCACGCGGTCATCGAAGCCATAAGAAGAGAGGAGGGCAAGCGAGCATTCCTCGAATTCTGCGAGGCGGTGATGACCAAGAAGGAGACCTTGGAACGAGACAGGAGGATCGCACCTATGACTAATGGCGCGAACGTGGGAGGGGGCACGGCGTAACGAAGCGAGCGAGATGTCAAAAGCAGGAGGGGCCACCGCACTGAGTAGCGGGGCGGTGAAGGATAACACACACTAGATGGTTGACCATTAGGAGGAGACAGACAGTCACACCGACTAGCGGGATGACTGGTCTCAAACGAATTTCACCAAAAGTAGGGCAGTGAGGCTGAGCCAATAAATAGATGGCCCTCACTGGGAAGACCCATGGAACCGAGGGCGGGGGCCCGAGGTCCCCACGAGATGGGTAGAAGGGAAAGGGAGGGTGTGTCGCCGGCATCTTCACACCCTCGTGAATATACAGGAAGGTTACTACGAATAACAATACGGGGCCCATCCGGATGTACTACTGCTGCGAAACTCCCGGATGGGCCCCAATCATCACGGGTTAGGTACGCCCGCAGGGGTTTTAGTGGGTAGGCTCCCCGAGTCACACTCGGAGAGAGAGTCCCACATACCCTGTCTCCCACCCCCGTGGGAGACGGGTATGCGTAAAGCATTTCCCCTGCGTCACAAAAAAAATGCGATGCGAACAAATCTAAGATTAAGAACGACATACAGACTTGCTGTTGGCTATATTGCTGATTGAGTTAATCGTCGATTCAGTTAATCGGCATTGGTAAGAGTCGCCCTAAATAGTGTTAATCAATCTTGCCTTGCATTAATTGGCAGTTACACGAACTATTTTTATTTCTTATACATACATTATAATAGCAACGCCGATTAACTTAATCGACGATTAACTCAATCAGCAGACTTGCTATTAGAGAAATCAGCAGTCTTGCTATTATAGACAGAAGGTTTTCATCACATAATCATTACTATCATCACAATTAAATAGAAATGCAGAGATATCACGCACTAGCGAAAAATCAAGCATTGATGCAGCGTTGTTCGATTTAGCTTTTTTGAGGCGTCCGTTGATGATAGGCGAATACTTAAAACACCCACTTCTTCGAAGGCGAACACCTAGACACCCATTTCCTCGACGGCGGACACCTAGATACCAACTTTCTCGACGGCGAACACCTAGACACCAATTTCCTCGACGGCGAATACGTAGACATCCATTTCCTCGACGGCGAACACCTAGACACCAACTTTCTCGACGGCGAACATGTAGACAACATCTAGACGCCCACTTCCTCGACGGCGAACATCTAGACATCCACTTCCTCGACGACGGTCACCTAGACACTCATTTCCTCGATGGCAAACACCTAGACACTCACTTCTTCGACGGCGAACACCTAGACGCTCACTTCCTCGATGGCGAACACCTAGACACCCATTTCCTCGACGGCGAATACCTAGACACCCATTTCCCCAATAGCGAACACCTAGACACCCACATTCTCGACGGCGATCACCTAGACACTCATTTCCTCGATGGCAAACACCTAGACACCAACTTCCTCGACGGCGAACACCTTGACACCCATTTCCTTGACGGTGAACACCTAGACACTATTTCCCCAATAGCGAACACCTAGACACCCACTTCCTCGACGACAAACATCTAGACGCTTAATTCCTCGACGGCGAACACCTAGACGCTTAATTCCTGAATATCTATACACCCTCTCCCTCGACGCTGTAAATACCTAGATTTTCAACGACAATCTCGATATTTCATTTTAATTATAATTAATATTTTATTTTAATTCATTTTAATTAAATTTCATTTTAATTTTAATTAATTATAATAATAATGCGCCGCGTGCACGTCACATCGTATATGTGACAATGTTGCCATCG